ACACACACACACACACACACACACACACACACACAGCTACTACATCAGTGACATACCCCAAGGCATTATACATGTTTTGCATGCTTACATATAGCATGTTGACATTATAATAAGCTCTTTTGTAAAAGATATTATTAGCTGGATATATATATAATTGAATCACCATTACCAGATGAATTGAAGCAGTGTGAGTTTAAGAGCCGTGTGTGCCTTCAAATTAATGTTTTAAACTGCTTTTGGCAGCGGTTCAGAATACTAATGGAGTCAATCAAGAGACTGAATGAAAAAGAGATAGGAGACGCACAAGGGGAGCCATAGAAGTGGTGCGTGCACTAGAGGACAAAGAGGTTTGGTGTGTAGGAGAGGAGCATCAATTGGACGCTGACATGCAACATTTAAAGGACAACACAACCCTTTTCCTCCGCTCCCTAATTCCAGCTCTCTTTTCCCAGGCACATCCTTGCTTCATTCAAACCACCTCCTCTTTTCTCTCCTTCTCCTCGCAGGTATTTTCTTCAAGCGTGTGTGTGTGCGTGCGTGAGTGAATGTGTGAGCATGTGGAGGGGGCTAGTTTTGTGGTTTGAGTGCTAAGTGAACGTGTCAGTGCCCAGGGCAAGGGGTCTCCCCACGGGGCCGAATTCAGTCACGAGAGCACACAACTGACTGGTGGTGCAGACATTCTGCCCTCAGGGTCGGTGTGTATATGTGCGTGAGTCTCTGTGTGCGTGTGTCGTGAAGAGTGAATGACTGTGTGGGTTTGTCAGTCTGAAGATGCTTATGCAAGTAAATTTTTCCTTTGTATGTGTCTGTCTGTGTCTTTTGTTTGTAACCACGTACACGTTTGTGCTTGTTTCTGTGTGGGCTTTTAATATGTGTGTGTGTTTGTCACTCGGGTGTGTGTGCGTCTGTCTTTGTCTTTTATCTAACCCCTGCTTTTGAGCCTGTTTGTGCTGTAAATTGTGTGAGTGAGAGAAAGGTTCCCTGTGTTTGTGTCTGTCTATTGCAGTATGGACAAATTGTAGTTTGAAACCATTGTTTGAGGTTATGTTGACACTGTGAGGACATTCAAAGAGCAGTTTGATGGTCAAGACTTGGCTCAGGTTACAATATTGTGTAGTTTATCAGAGTGTCCTCACAATCAAGACATAAATGTGTGTGTGTGTGTGTGTGTGAGTGAGACAGTGAGAGTTCTCTATGTGTGTGATGTAGTCATGAAGACAGATAACATGGAGGCAATACTCACTGTTAAAGTGACCAGAGGGCTGAATCGTGCCTCAGCTATGGTTTGACACACACACAGACACACACACGCACACACACTTGCACACACACACACACTCAATAGTTTTTAAGTATCTATCCCTGCAGGAACTACATGGACATCTGCACAGTAAACATCAAAACCCCCTGAGCCCCAGTCCTAAATATTACACACTTTTGCACGCACTTGCATCTCTGTCTCTCTTTCTCTCTCTGTCTCCCTCATCTCACACATATGAACAATGCAGATATATAATATCCCATTCTGTGGCAAACAGTGTGATACATTATTATTTTGTGGAGCCCCCATACTAATACATGTCCTCCTCTCCTGTTCTGTCTTCGCTGCCCCAGTGAGAAAAACTATCACGCCTTTGCTTTGTTATCCAAATCCAAATACGTCGTATTGCGGACTCCGTCAAATAGAACACTATTGGATACATCATAGATTATAAAGATGGGCGACATGACAGGTCCCCAAAAGTGAACCCAAAGTTTCTTTATTTCCATCTTCTGACTGGCTTGAGTTTAGGTCATAAATCCTGCCTCCTCCTCCAAGTGAATAGGACATGGCCAAGGGGGTGATGGGAAATTTTCTCTGCTTAAATAGACATGGGTGTGTATTATGGATGATTATGGAGAGTGAGGTATGTCATGTGATGTATTGAGCAGCCTTAGCTCGAGTTAGCTGCAGCTCACAGGCGTCGCTCCATTCCCGCAATGTCCATAGATACAGGCTTTTATTCTATTTTTTCTAGATAACTTTATTTATTGATGGTTATAAGAACGTGAGAAGAGTTTCAACAAATTACCAACCGTACCTTGAAGCGCAGCATCACAGAACCACTAGCAAAGCCTAGATTCACTCTTCAATTTTATTTCCCTGCACCGGATCCAAGTGTGTACAGTGTTCTCTTCTTCTCTTTGAACGCTCTGTCTCTCTTTCTGTCTGTCATGGCTGTGGAAATACAGACTCCTGCTGTTCTTAAGACACAAGACAGACATGACCTGCACCTTGACCAGACACAGAGAGACAAGATGCTAACACAGAGCAAGAAGGCACTGTGATGGGTGGGAACAGAGAGAGACAGAGAGAGGCAGAGAGAGATAGAGAGACAGAGAGAGAGAGAGCCGTTATCTTCTTAAAAGCATTACCTGTCAATCATTTGTCTCATCAAAAGCACTTTCAAGTAATGTTGTGTGTTTTGTCTGTCTGTCTCATTTACCACCCGTCATTTCTCTCTGACTTCTCACAGAGGAAAAAAAAGAGGATGTGATCATTCAATAAAATCCGTTTGAGTGTCTTTCAGGAAAATGACTTTGTAGGCAATAGCTGCCATTCTCTTCATCTATCTGTCTTTTCATGTTGAGGCTCTCGTCAGGATTTTTTCAAACCTGTTTGTTTGTAGATTGTCAGAAAGACGAGACAAAGACAAACTTTCAAACAGTATTTGACAATGATCGGAGTATAGATTTAAGTCTTCAGCTCCTGTTTTTAATCTCTTAATGTATTCCAATATCACAACATTTTTATTTTATTTTCATTTGCTATAGTCAGAGGGCGTCCTCTCGCACCTAATGTATGGAAATAAATTTTTCATTTAGGTCAAGGCTGACTACCTGAGTTCAAGGCTGCCACTCAGGGGGACTGGGCTTTCTCTGTCAGGGCCCTGAGGCTCTGGAACTCCCTGCCTGACAAGATTAGGCTCGCCAACTCACTACCTTTCTTTAAATCTCCCTCAAAACATATCCGCAGAATGTCCACCTACATAAAATATTTCTTGTTAGAGTGTGGAAAGAGAGAAAGTGAAAACTTCATGACTTCAGTACATTTCTTACTTTTGAAACAAAAATTTGCCCATAAACATTCAAACCACCTTGTCATGACGGCAGTAATTATATGAACTGCTCTAATAGCTTTTGTCTTCTCAAGCACAACAGCATTGTTTGCAAGTATATTTCACCTTGTTTACATCATGCAGCAGTCTATTTGTCTGTTTGGAGCTGTTTTGAAACAGGAGCTGTCAGCATGCCACGCAAATATCTTCTGACACATTATCAAGAAGATGAGAAGCTTGGGGGATGTGATCTTATCCCCTCATAAGCCTTAAAGAAGTGAGAACAGCTCGGAGAGAATGCGTTGACATGCACAGAAAAAAAGAGATAATTTTGGGAGATGTTTTTGCCTAACAGGACGCCGTAAAAGCAATATCTGAAGGATTAGAGTGTCCGTGTTCTTCTGCTGTGAACTGCTGACAGATAAAAAGAAAATGCCTCTGACATCAGCGACTAAGACAGATTTTGATGGATAAAGTGCGCCTGTAGTTGTCAGTCTAAATGTTTTTATAGACAGCTCACAGTTTTCTCTCCTCGTACAATAAATCATTCATCCAGGATATGTTTATTGTCCTCAGTGACATTGATGTGAAAATGTAATTTGGACTTAAAGGTGTTACTCGGGGACGAGATGATAAAAAGCTTAAAAGATGATGTATTGTATATTTGAGAAGCTGAGATTTTCAGTGTTTGAGCCAGAATGGAGGATGGAGTCGGTCAGGTGGGGGGGATTTAAAGTCTCTTAAAGAAAACAATGTGGCTGTGTATGTGCTGAAATGCTAAGTTGTACCTCTGTAGCTGCTCCTAAACTAATATATTACTAATTGTATGCATTTCCCCCTCAGATGGATCGCAGTGAGACAGTGTGTCGTTACTGTGGTGTAAGCTACCTCATTTACCACGAGTTCCATCAGCTCAACACTCGACTGGCTCAGTTGGAGACAGAGCTCCAGAAACTGAGAGAGGCCACCCAGAGAGAGAAGGCCCAGCGAGAGTCACTGGAGCTGAGCAGGCTGGAGTGGGAGACAGCACTTAACCTGGAGGTGCAGAGAAAAGCAGACGAGAGAGAAACCAGCATGAAAGAAGAGCTTGAAGAGAAATGCAGAGACACAGAGCGGCTTCTGAAAGAGGAAAATGAGAGGAGGAGAAGAGAGATGGAGGAGGACTATCAGAAAATCAGTGAAGAAAAAGAGAAAAAACTGAGAGACTTGGAGGTGGAGAGACTGAGGAGGCAGAGAGAAGAGCTGGAGAAAGGGAATGAGGAGAGAGAGAAAGTTCTGAGCGACTCACTTCATAAGGCCAATCAAAATTTAGACGAGATGAGAAAATACTTTCAACAAGCGGAAGAGAGGTGAGGTCTGTATTTGTTTATCTGTGCTTCCTGTCCCTGGTGTGAAATGGTCTGTGATGCCAGCCTTCGTGTCAATTATCCCATGAGTCATGCTGCTAACACAAAAACAACACAAGCTCACCCAACACACAAATCACGCTATCATGTGTGTACCATATGTGCATCAATACAATAGCCATCCATGTCATTGCTCTTTAAGTGTTTTTCCATTTGCAGATCATCATGTAGTGTAACCAGAACTGTCCTGTCTACTTATGTACTGTAAACTTATCTAAACACTGATGCAAAGCCAACCCACCCACAGCACCTGCAGCTGGTCATCACTGTGATACCATAAATTAAAGAGGTTTAATTATTTGATTCTGAAATTATGAATCAAAAAGCAGCCACATATGTTTAGTATCATGCTAATGTCTGATGCATCAAAGAAAAACTGTGTTCGCCTCAAAACATACTTTACCAGATCAAATTACTGCAGTGAATAGTGACATTCTCCTCCGGATATTAACAGACTAGAATGCAACAGAGCCATAAACATGTTTTATTTTCAATGACGGATTTAGCTTGGCATTATTCTCTTTATTACCATGCCATCTTTTTTTTTGCTATTCCTTTCTCCACCCACACATGTACTGGACCTTACCTCAGCTGAATGCAACAGGCTCAGGCATGTTCTCTGGAGGCCGTTGGTAGCTATTCTTGGAAATTAAGTGTCCAGAGTAAGTGTTATATCATACATATCAGTTCAGGTCAGGTTACTAACGTCAGAGCAACCTTATATATCGCTAGCACATTTCTTTATTCACTTCATTATAGTCTCTGTTTGTGTCCTTGTGTGCAGTTACCACTTTAAAGGACATATGGTGCACAAAGACACACACACATCCGCACAAATTCATACAGGTGGTGAGGATTCCTGTGTCACTTACATCAGCTTTAAAGTGTTGGTAATCAAATAGCAGGTGTCTGTATTCAAACAGCCATTAAAGGCCAAGTTAAGTTTCTGGGAAATATGTAGGAAATGCTTGCTTGCCATGACTCATGAGAATACTATGAATAATCTGAAACATCTAAAGACTCCCCTGTTGAAATACAAAACAATGACACCATTCTAAAACCTTTGACGCACAAGGATATGAAACCTCACACACGCACACACGCACACCTGCACACACACGCACGCACACACTGCAGCCTCCCTCACAGTTTCTCATTCTTTCAGCTGTTTTTGTTTTGCAGACACTCACAATTAAAAGTTTCTTGAATGTTCCTACCACTAGTGTTGTGATAGTAAATGTTATTTGTAGGGGAATTGAAGTGAAGTTAGTATGCTGGCTTTTCAGCCTTTCTCAACTCAGTTTCAGTTCTTTCTCCTGTGGTGGTTATTTGTCATAGAGCTAGAGTTTGATAGAGCAGCAGGGCTACACTCAAAAGCACAATAAACAACGTTGCTGAGAATTGACGCTTGGTGAGCTGATTAGGGAAAATATGGGGTGGGTTTCTAAACAGAAGGAGATCAGTGTCCTAAAGCGCTCCCCATTTAATTAGTAGTGTACTATATGTACAATTGAAGTGTGTACTTTGTGCCATCAACATTTCCCTTAAAGGAACTAAAGTATAACTATTGTTTCCAAAAAATGTTCCCCCTTGTTTCACTCACCACGCACTACTCCCTGAATAATAGACACTCAATGTTTTCTCAATACTGAGCTGAGATTTCGGATTTTAGGTGTAGTTGTATAATAATATGTTCATTGTCTGATTGTTAATAGAAAGTGTTCTATTGTTTACATTTTGAGGACACTATATAATGGATGAATTTGGACACTCAAATAAAATGACAGTAAATAGGTAAAGAGGTTATGAAGTCTTTGTGTACATGACAGAAAATTATCCCAGTCCCCAGAAATCTTATTTAGTGTCTGTTGCATGGGAAGTAGTTAATGTGTGAACTGGGAGGGCAAGGAAACAGAATAAGGAAAACTTAAATGCTAAAATAACACTGGTAGGAAAAATATTGGTATCTGTGTATATGTAGAGTAAATATATGAAAAGAAATTGCTGTAAAAAATATTATTGCTAGATTAAATATCAATTGTGGTTTAGTGCATAATGTGTGTGCAGGTCACAGCCTGTGTTCATGCAGACAGCTCAGGTGGTCTGTGTGTTGTCTGATGTGCACGGTAGACTGGAAGAACAAATCCACGACTGGTCTAATGTAAGCTGATTATCTCTCACAAACTGCCTCTTCATTAAGTCAAAAACACGTGCAAACAAATACATGCTGTGCACAGTTGCGCTCTGGAGCCTTGGGGGCCACCCTTGGGTCAGGAGGTCAAAGTTCAGGCAGAGATAATGATGCATGGCACTGTGATGTGTGAGAGGCCAGCGTGGACCGACAGCAGTGGAATCTCTCATCTGCCCTACTTTTTTCTTTTCTTTTACCTTTACTTGTCTATTCCTTTCATTTTATCCATCTTTCGTCTCATCATTGTTCATTTGCAGTCAAATAGTTTTTTCCATCCGATTGAATTATCACCCAGTAATACAGTCATTTACATTCTTCTCCACTTTGCAAACTAATTTGCTGTTCGCCTTCTTCTTCTACTCGTGGTGTGCACGCACACACCATCACTCACACAGGTGGTACACATTAAAAGGCAAAAGATAGCATGCAAGTGGGAGTTAATGAGGACGTTCTAAATGGCTGGCTGCACAGCAGGAGTGTGACTCTTCAGTGAAATACGTTTGTGATTGACAGCACTCCTCTCCTGCTCTGAGATATTTTATACAGCTTTTTTCTGTGGGATTATGTGATTTAGGACAATATATTTTCTAGCCAATGGGATAATTAAACAAGGGTTCTAATCTTTCTTTATGTTTTTTAACTTGAGCCACTTTTTTTTATGAACATAATTCTAATAAGATCCTTGCACTGATCCACCTGTGCACACACATGCAGGTTTTCTTCTCATTACATGCCATCGCTTTCTTCCAATATCTGACTTCTGCTGTTTGATCATGTGTAATTCTGACATGATCAGAGAAGTGATATGAGTGTGTGTGTGTGTGTGTGTGTGTGTGTGTGTGTGTGTGTTATAGAGAGCCCGACTAGTGGCTCAGTAACAACACACAAATCAAACCTGAGTAAAATGTCACCTGTCAGACATCGTGTGTGTTCATGACACGAGTGGTCGAGTGTCCCTGTGTGTGTGCATAAGACAGATGTATGACAGATGAAAGTGAGGCGTGAAGAGGAGTAATGTGCAGAGTGCAATTACAGCTGATTTTGAAATGTCACCTGCTCGACATGTTTGAACACAGATGAGCAGCAGATATTTTGATCTGAAGGAAAAGAGCAAGGAGTGAGGAGATGGAGAGGCAAATGCTAGGTTCTCATCCCGTGGGAGGTTTTATTTACCACTCAGCTCATCAACATCCTCACATTAACTTTGAATCTTAAAATATTGAACTTGGTGCAGAAGTTTATCAAAAGCAAATCCACAATCACACACCATGCTTAATCCATCACTCAATATAAGTGCACGCAACTGTTCACAAAACTATTGAATATAAATGCTAAATGTAGACTACTGTAGATTACTGCTGTTACCCCCGTGTGCATAACTGCTGACAGCTCATCAACAGATCACTCTTCATTCAGGATGTGAATTCCGCTCATTAAAAGTAACATTGACAGTTGTCGTCTTGAGTTGACTGATGGCAGCAATGTCTGCAAGTAACCTGGTTATTTTTTTCTGAAGCTGCTTCCATCCCATATAACGTGAATGTGGCAAAACAGATGCCTGTGGCACAGACAGTCAGTATTTATATGAGAATAAATAAGAAAATATCAACATGTGTACAATTTGGAGCTAATCCTGATGTTTAAAAAAACAATAAACACAACATTAGGAGGCAGCAGTACATGACAGGGTTCAAGGTCTGATTTAAAGAATTAGGGCAAACATTAGATACTCTGGTAATTTGTTTCACTGGTTATAGTAACTGAATTAAGTGTCACTGCTCCAATTTGTAACAAGCATATGTTATATATATTGATGATGTTTCTAATGCAACACAAATAAAACCCAAAAAATAATGCAAACATCTCAGGAAGAAAATGTCCGGATTCAATGTCCTGGTCATTTTCTGGAGGTTATATCTGAAATGGCTTCAGATTACAAAGCAAAACTACCCATATACACAGAATGCACTTCAAAAGATTTATACTGTCATCCATCTCATCTCAGACACACCTTACAGAACAGATACTATTTCACTGTTATTAATGCAGAACTGCAGATGCTGCTTTTTCACTGATGATGTGCTAATCTTGTCATGTTAGACCACACCTGCTATTTTTAAATTTCAGTTAAATGTAATTAGCATTTCACATTATATCCTATTCAAATTACTTTTAAATTGTGGGGCTAGTGGAAACTGTTTCTGCCTTCTCAGCCCCTAAAAGCTAATTACAGAAAAAACTACATCTGATTAAATGTGATGATTCGCTATTAGAGACAACCCCTACATCTGGCATAGGCTTATTACTTGACCCTTCCAAATACACCTATTTAATACTCTATTCGTCCTGTCTCTCTGTGTAGGTTAAATTAGTAGAGCAATGTCCAAACCAATGGAAACACATTTCAGACAGTGGGTGAGGAAGCCCCATTAGATGACAGGTGGTTATCACATCTAGATGGACCAGTTTGTGTTTAACTTGTGAAGAGAAGATATTGGAGCTAAAGACACAAGGGGTTCATGAAAGGGTATAAACTATCCCTGTAAGAGAAATCGATAAACAGGTATGAACAGACAGCTCGTCTAACTGGAGACAGGTTGAAACATATCAGAAAAACTTACAGTGCGCATGCTTACAGTGTTGAGAGAAGTGTCTGGGAATTTATTATGCTCCACTTGCTTCCTCTTGGCTGACTGCTTTCAGTCATGATCCAAACAGTGTGTCTGGGTGTGAGTCTGTTTGTGACTGTATC